AATAATTGGCAGTTATTGACCTGAACAAAGGTCACTGGTCTCAAAACGTTAACTCTGCTTTCTCTCTACGGATGTGCCAGTCCTGCTGAGTTTTTCCAACAATTTCTGATTTTGTTTCTGACCATTGTTGGTGATTGAATGAGACATTTACATTGGCGTATAGTGAGGAGGATTATCAGAGGATACAGCAGGATAACAATCAGTTGGAGGCGTGGGCAGAAAAACGACATATGGAGTTTAATGCGGACAAATGTGAGGTGATGCATTTTGGAAGGTACAGGTGGAAATTGTACAATGAATGACAGAACCCTTAGGAGTATTGATATGCAGACGATTTGGGTGTGCAGGTCCACAGATCACTGAAGGTGGCAGTGCAGGTAGAAAAGGTAGTAAAAAAGGTCTATGGCATGCTCGCCTTCATTGGAAGGGGCACTGAGTATAAGGATAGACAAGTTATGCTGCAGCTTCATAGAAATTTAGTTAGGCCACACTTGGAATATTGAATACAGTTCTGGTCACCACACTACTGGAAGGATTGGAGAGGATACAGAAAAGGTTTACCAGGATGTTGCTTAGTATTGGGGATTTTAGCTGAGAAGAAAGATTGGATAGACTGGGTCCTTTTTTAACTGGAAGGCAGGAGGTTGAGGGGCAACCTGATAGAAGTTTATAAGATTGTGAATGGCAATGGATAGAGTGGAAAATATGAGGCATTTTCCCATGGTGGAGGGGTCAATTACTAGGGGACACAAGTTCAAGGTGCAGGGAGGAAGGAAGTTTAAAAGCGAAGTGCGAGGCAAGTTTTTTCACACAAAGGGTGATGAGTGCCTGGAACGTGCTGCCACAGGAGGTGGTGGAAGCAGACACAATAGCGGCACTCAAGAAGCACCTTGAAGAATACATGAATAGGAAGGAAATCGAGGGATACGGATCCTATAAGTGAAGGCAGTTTTTCATATGGAAGGGCAAAATGTGTCGGCGTAGGCTTGGAGGGCCGAAGGGCCTGTCCCTCTGCTGTATTGTTCTTTATCCTCAGAGGCTTAGCTATTGGAGCAGATAATGGAGCTGGTTATAGCTTCAATGGCAACTAAAGCTTTCCAAAGGAAAGACAGTTCATGAAAGTAACACACTGCTAAAAGACTGCAAAAAAAAAGTCATATAGCTCAACAACTTCTGCAAGCATTGGGAGCAGTTATCAGTATTGATTCAGTAGCCAGGAAGTAGAAAGCAAGCAAGCTGAGTGGCGAATGAAATCTGCTGCACCACTTCAAAGCTGCCCTGCATTCCAAAATCCTGTATGTCACACAGTGCTAAATGACACAGGGCCCACCTAAACAAGAAATGTCAACTTGTCTCTTTCCTCTGTAACTGCTGCCTGATCTGATGACTGTTTCCATTGCTTTACTTCAGTGACCAGATTCTAGTCAAACTGAATGGTGTAACCCCTATTCAATAACATAACCAACAGCATAACTTTGTAATGACTCCTGATGAAATAAATAGTTGTCACCGTATGACGATCACTGCTTACGAACAATGTTAAATTATCTTTCTAGGTTGTCAGGGCACAGTTTTGGATGGGACATCAGGGACCTCGTTTACATAAACCCTTTCTTCAATTCTCTTTTGAATTTTGCTTTAGAATCTACTTCCACCACTGTTTCGGGCAGTGTTCCAGATCACAACAATTTTGCTGTGTAAACAAATGTTTCCTGTCATTGACTGGCTATTTTACCAATCTCCTTAAACATATTGGAAAACATTCTATCGCAGGAAGTAGATTTTTTTCTGCTATTGAAGCCTGTGGTATCTACCTCTCACCTGCAGGCCCTTGTCACTTCCCTCGTCATTGGCCCACTTTGAAAACATTATTGCAAATTCATATAAAGATTAACCGCACCAACCCATGTGAATCTTTTGTTATTTAATGAAAAAATAAATTTGATTAAAGTCATGATAGTTGTTGAACCAGTGGATATGATGAATACAATTCTTGTGAGAGTTAATTAACTTCGACATCTTAATTAATTTCTTTCATTCAGTATGAGTCATTAGGAATGGTACAGTATAAATAATTGAACCTGCATTTTCCTAGTCATTGAAAACTCAACAAATAAGTGCAGAAATAGACCACATGACCCATGAAGCCTGCTGCTCTGGGATTTAAATTTCAATTTCTGGTGAGGGATATTAAGAATACAGAGCATATTTTTAAAGTGAGAAGAGAAAGATTAAGAAAAAGACACAAGGGACATTTCTTCTATACAAAGACAGTAAAGAATGAACTTCCAGAGGAAGTGGTGGATGCGGGTACAGTTACAACGTTTAAAAAACAATTAGGTAAGTATATGAATAAGAAATATTTGGAGGAATATGGGCCAAGCGCAGGCAAGTGGGGCTAGCTTAGTGTGGGATTATGATCGGCATGGACTGGTTGAATCGAAGGGTCTGTTTCCGTGCTGTATGACTCTATGATTCTATTGTTCTGTAAATTCAACTCTTGATTGATACATGGTCCCTTACATTCAATGAGCACTTTCAGTATACTTCCAGGTCTCCCCAAAGTAGCTTTGCTTCAAAGGATAGAATTAAACAGTTCAAAGATTCAGGTACTAAACCTTAATAAAGGAAACTACGAGGATATGAGGCGTGAATTACCCTTGATAGATTGGGGACAGTTACTTAAAGGGATGACCGTGGATAGGCAATGGTAAACATTCAAGGAACGCATGAGGGAACTGCAACAACTGTTTATTCCTGTCTGGCACAAAAGCAAAATGGGTAAGAGGGCCAATCCATGGCTTACAAAGGAAATTAGAGATAGTATCTGATCCAAGGAAGAAGCATACAGATTGGCCAACAAAAATAATAAATCTGAGGACTGGGAGCAGTTTAGAATTCAACAAAGAAGGACCAAGGGATTGATCAAGAAGGGGAAAAGACAGTATGAAAGTAAGCTTGCAGGGAACATAAAGACTGACGCTAAAAGTTTCTATCAGTACATGAAGACAAAGAGGTTGGTAAAGACTAATGTAGGTTCCCTACAGATGGAAATGGGGGAATGTATAATAGGGGACAAAGAAATGGCTGAGGAACTGAATACAAACTTTGGTTCTGACTTCACAAAAGACGACGCAAATCAGATATCTAAATTGTTGCAGGATGCAAGATTTAGTGAGAGGGAAGAACTGAGGGAGATCAATATTAGTAGAGAAATGGTGCTGGGAAACTTGTTAGGATTGAAGGCTGATAAATCCCCAGGGCCTGGTAATCTACATCCCAGAGTACTTAAGGAAGTAGCTCGAGAAATAGTGGATGCATTGGTGGTCATCTTCCAGGATTCTATAGACTCTGAATCAGTCCCTGCAGTTGGAGGGTGGCTCATGTCACTCCAATATTCAAAAAAGGAGGTAGAGAGAAAACAGGGAATGAGAGACTGGTGAGCCTAACATTGGTAGTGGGGAAAATACTCAAATCCATTGTCAAGGATTTTAAAGCAGAACATTTAGAAAGCAGTGGCAGGATCAGACAGAGTCAGTGTGGATTTATGAGGGGGAAATCATGCTTGATAAATCTGTTGGAACTCTATGAAGATGTAACTGGTAGAGTTAATAAGGGGAAGCCAGTTGATGTAGTACATTTGGACTTTCAGAAAGCATTTGGTGAAGTCCTGCATGACAGATTAATGTGCAAGATTAAAGCATGGGATTGGGGGAAGTGTATTGAGATGGATAGGAAACTGGTTGGCAGAGAGGAAACAAACAGGAGGAATTAATGGGTCCTTTTCAAATTGGCAGGTAGTAACTAGTTGGGTGCCACAGGAATCAGGGCTGGGACCCAACTATTCACAATATATATTAATGATTTTGATGAGGGAAAAAAATGTAACATCTCCAAGTTTGCTGATGATACCAAGTTGGGTGGGAGGGTGAACTGTGACGAGGATGCAGAGATCCTTCAGCATGACCTCGACAGGTTAGGTGAATGGGCACATCAATGGTAGATGCAGGATAATTTCGATAAATGTGCGGTTCTTCACTTTGGAAGCAAAACAAGAAGGCAGATTACTACCTGAATGGCTGTAAATTGGGAGAGGGGAGTGTGCAGTGGGACCTGGGTGTCCTTGTGCAGCAGTCGCTGAAGGTAAGCACGTAGGTGCAGTAGGTGGTAAAGAAGGTAAATGGTATGTTGGCTTTCATTGTGAGAGATTTCAAGTACAGGAGCAGGGATGTGTCTTTGCAGTTATACAGGGCCTTGGTGAGGCCACACCTAGCATGTTGTGTGCAGTTTTGGTCTCCTTTTCTGAGGAAGGATGTTCTTGCTCTCGAGGGAGTGCAGCAAAGGTTTACCAAGCTGATTCCAGGGATGGTGGGTCTGACGTATGAGGAGAGATTGACTAGGTTGGAATTGTTTTCGCTAGAGTTCAGATGAATGAGGTGATATCTCATACAGACTTACAAAATTCTAATGGGACTAGACAGGGTAGATGCAGGGAGGATGTTCCCAATGGTGGGTGAATGCAGAACCAGGGATCAGAGTATGAGGATTCAGGGTAGATGATTTAGGACGGAGATAAGGAGACATTTCTTCACTCAAAGAGTGGTGAGCCTGTGGAATTCATTACCACAGGAAGTAGTTGATGCCAAAACATTGAATGTATTCAAGAGGCGGCTAGATTTAGCACTTGTGGCGAATGGAATCAAAGGTTATGGGGAGAAAGCAGGATTAGCCTATTAAGTTCAACGATCAGCCATGATCGTGAAGAACGGCAGAGCAAGCTCGAAGGGCCGAATGGCCTCCTCCTGCTCCTATATTCTATGTTTCTAAGTTTAACTTAGCATTGAAGTATTAAAGGAAGCAACATGGTTTAAAATAGCTACAAATTTTAGAAGTGCAATACATTGTCAACAAGAAATGATTTTGTCCAGCATTAATTATTGTCTAATTACATTCCAGTAAATTTCATTAAAGCAATTATTTCTGGTGAATGTTGACTTTACCTTTCAACGTGATTGAGATTCCCAGAGACACCAATGCCACCGAGTGTGTAAATTTTCCCATCATACACCAGGCTATTGTGTCGACACCTTGGGACAGTCATTCGTGAAACCAGGTTCCAATTGTCCAGAAGGGACATGTAACACCAGACATCAGCAAGTGTGACACCAGATTCCATGCCACCTAGGACAATGAGAGAAGAAGTCAGTGTCAGAAAGAATTATGGCAATCTTGATTGTCTGGGAAACAAAATGTAAATTCTAATGCTGGTGACTTTATTACCATTATTTTTAGTTCTGCTCCATTAAAAACTAAATGTGATACAAACTGGCTTACAGTTCTTTGGAAGGCATTGTACATCTGTTTGAATACAACCCTAGACTTTGTGATACCTCATTTATTTCACAGCAAGTTATTTCATAAACTCACGAAAGATATCAGCATCTCAATGTTCACAGGCATGGATGTATTCAGAATTAGAGCTCGTTAAGACACTGACAATTGACTTTGATCTATTCAGGAACTTTCTAATTTTGGCTAAATTGTGAAAGGGAAGTTTAAAGAAGATGACAGATACTTCCCAAGGTAGGTACAGATTCTGTGGCTATGGTCATTGTGTTCCTGGCACTTGGATGCAAAGTTGCACTGCCTTCACTGAAGGGCATACTTCAAAAACAATCTGCTTTTTAACACAAAGAAATCATCAACAAATGAATTTAGTTAATAATGATTTTTTTTCAAAAAAATAACTAAACATTCAAAATCTCAGAGGATTGACATGTACATCCCTGTACTTTGATGCATGCTGTAAAATTATCCTAACACCACAAATCGAGAATCCTCAGATCCACTTTTACACTATCCTGGAAATAAGTTGAAGTCCAATACAATGGTTTTCAACCATTTTCAACTGGGTTAGGAATCATGGACCTCTCCATCCATATTATAATACTATAATTTTATATTCCTGTAGGTAAATGTTACTATTGTCTTGTTCAGAGGAGATGCATGCAATTTTTACGAAGGTTGATGATGTAATAAGCATTGGTGTGACTGGCAGTTATAAATCCCCTTCTGCTGATGGTTAACTACAGGTTCAGCAACAAGTCTGTTGAATACTTTAGTATATAACATCTCCATGCTCTCCCTGGTGCAGGGTTAGACTCAGTGACTGCTACAGAGAAATGCCACTGTTTCTGATGTTAACACTCCTACATTAAGTACTTAAGTCTTTTGAGGCATTTGCCACAGACTGTTTACTGGGCTCTTCGCACTCAGATATCGCTGACACATTAGGATCTCTTGTCTCCTCTCGCAGAGCTCCCAGTCAGACCACTTCTAGAGATAGTAGGAAGTGCAGATGCTGGAGAATCTGAGATAACAAGGTGTAGAGCTGGATGAACACAGCAGGCCAGGCAGCATCAGAGGAGCAGGAAAACTGACGTTTCGGGCCTAGACCCTTCTTCAGAAAAA